GCAATTGCAGAATAAAGAACGTGCATTTATCTATAAATCCCATCATGGGGCTAGTCTTTTATCATGCATTTAGAGAGCTGTTGCATTTAGGGGGGTTGCATTTAGAGAGGTCTGACTGTACACACTTTGCATTTTTTTTTACTATGGTCCCGAGGAGATGCACTTAGGGAGGTTTTTGTACCTCCTTACTTTATTTACATGACAAACTTTGTCACACAATTAATATCTATTATTATTCGTATTTTGATATAAGATCTTCAAAAATCTTCTCTTAAAACATGACAATGTCAAATTGGCTTAAGACTGCTATTGAACAAGTGTATATTAGGTTATTTGAGTTTGATTCTTTCGAGAATTTACAAACTATCGAGAGAGGTGGATTTGGAACTGTATCAAGTGCTTATTCAAAAAATTTTGATCAAATTGTAGCTTTAAAGAGCTTACATAATTCTTTTGATGACGATCAGAATGATCAGAATAATAATTTTATTAGAGAAGTATGAATTATTTTATATCAACCTGAAAGTAAAATTTACGTATTATTTTATGCATTCCAAATATTAATCAATTTTCAAATTAAGATTAAAAACATTACTAAAGTTAATCAACATGATCATATAATACGATTTCTTGGAATCACCCAAGGTACATTAAGTTTATGAAATAGACAAATAAAGTTTATAAAGTAACTAATTAACAATATAAAAATTTTAATATAAATTAGATCCTAAAACTGAAACCTACTACATGATTTTTCAATTCGCAAATAATGGTGACCTTCGAAGTTATTTACGTAATCATTTTTCGGAATTGGATTGGCCAACTAAAATTAGAATGGCTGAAGAAATTTCTAGTGGAGTTAATTATTTGCATAGTTCTGATATTGTACATCGCGACCTTGTAAGATTTTTCTGTTCGTTTTGTTTATCGTATCATCATTTTTTTGTATATTTTAATTAATAATTTGCGTAACTATTTTTTAGCATGATAAAAATATATTAGTGCATGATAATAGACTATTAATTACTGATTTTGGTTTAGCTAAATCATTAGGAAACAATGCTAAGTCTATATCTATTATTGCCGGAATATGTGCTTATTCTGACCCACTTTATCTTCAAAGTCCATTGTTATATAAACGAAGCAAACCTTCTGATATTTATAGTCTCGGCATGCTTTTTTGGGAATTATCAACTGGCGTTCCTCCTTTTAAAAATATAGAAGACGTTAAAGAATTAACATTACATATAATCACTGGTAAAAGAGAAACACCAATTGATGGAACTCCTATTGATTTTGTAAAGCTTTACACTAATGCTTGGAATGGTGATGCGGATTTACGCCCTAACATAAATGAAATCCGCCATAAATTAAAACAGATTCAAATAGAAAAAGTTTATCATAATGAACAAGATTTTAATAGTGAACAAGATTTCAATCATGGTAACAGGATCAGTGAAGATTATACATCAAGCCCGATAATTTCGATAGGTTGGTTATTATTTATTACTAGGATTACTATAAATCACATTCCTTTTTTTTTATATTACGTGTAATAACAACTCATATATACTTTATAGAACAACTTGGAGAATTGGAAATTGTTGATTCAGATAATCAAGATTCATTAGAAGCGTTTATAAATCGAGGAAATAATCATCGCGAAAACAATAGATTTGAAGATTCACTTGTTGATTTAACAAAAGCATTAGAAATTGATCCTAATAATGCTATTGCACTAAGAAGTCGTGGTATAACTTATAGTATGATGAAAAAATACAAAGAATCACTTGATGATTTAAATAAATCATTAAAAATTGATCAAAAAAATGTTGAAGCACTAATAAGTCGAGGATGCATTTATCGCAAAATGAGTAGATATATAGAATCACTTAATGATTTAAATAAAATTTTAGAGATTGATTCAAATAATATTGAAGCATTATGTGGTCGTGGAATAACTTATCGAAAAATGAATGAACATAGAAGATCACTTGCAGATTTAAATAAATTATTAGAAATTGATCCTGATAATGCAAAGGCATTAAGAAATCGTGGGGAAACTTATCGAATGATGGAAAAATATAAAAAGTCTCTTGTTGATTTTGATAAATCATTAGAAATTGATCCAAATAATGCTTTTGCATTAAATAGTCGTGGTGAAACTTATCGTATGATGAATAAATACGGAAATTCACTTGCTGATTTCAATAAATCTTTAAAAATTGAACCAAAAAATGCTTTTGCATTAAGTGGTCGTGGTGAAACTTATCGTATGATGAACGAATATGAAAAATCTCTTGATGATTTCAATGAATCTTTAGAAATTGATCCAAATGATACATTAGCATTAGAAAGTCGACAAAAAGTTTATAAAATAATGACCAAAAAATCAATATTTAAAAAATTTATGCAATACCTTTATAAATAATTTTTATATGATTCACTTATATGTGAGATAATTATAGTATATAGTAGTGAGACAATATTTGCAAATAATCTATTTTAATGATCATATAATAGCTAATCAGTTTGTTTATCTAACAAAATATGTTTTCTGCTTATTTTGAAAAAAAAATTACAATAATTGGTTAGTTTCTAAATTTATTTTTAATATAAATTTTAATAGTAGGTCTGATATATATCAGAAACTTATAACCTTTGTAGATTTAAAATTCTTCAATTAATAGTTATGATATGTATTGTATTCAGTGTTGGCAATTTTACCGGCCACCCAAATTTGGTTGGCCTTTTTGGCCAAAAAATTGGCCAATTCGGCCTAAAAAACATATGAATTTGGCCGAATTGACCGTTTTTTGGTTGTTTTTTGGCCGGCCAAAAATATGTTTAGCCGTTAAAATTGCCAACACTGATTGTATTGTATTTATTGTATAAATATTATTCTTATAAAAATGTTTATACCGTAAAATCTCGAAATAGTGGGCATGGGCGTTAATTCGAAAATCGCGCCCCCTAAAAATTTCAATAACTAGTTTCGAAATAACGCCCATGCGCGTTTCGAAATAACATTATACAGTACATTCATATTGTGTCACGTTATGTGAATAGTAATTTATTGAATTGACTATAGTACATGCTCAAAAATATACGCATACAGTTAGACCTCTCTAAATGCACCCTCTCTAAGTGCACACCCTCTCGAAATGCACGCTTAAGTGCTGGCCCAAATATATACTTGACCTCTATAAATGCACTTTTTCTTATTATTCTCTAAATGCACGTTA